CCCGGCGTCTCATCCGCAGAGGGAGCAGTATGTCTTCGGAAGTCCCCGAAGGAGCCTCCGCGGAGGAGCAGAAGGTGAGTGTGTGCGGAGAGCGGGCCCGGGAGCCGGGAGGGCCCGGTGACGGCCTGCTCCGCTCGCAAACGGAGGGGCGCGGCCCGAGTCAGCCCGGCGCCGGTGCGGAGTCTGGGAGGCCAGACACTTCGGAATCCGTCGCCCGCAAGAGCTCTGATAGTAGCTGGCGTGGTGCGGGGTCCAAGCGTTCTCCACGTCTTGGCCGAAACGTGCCTTTTCTAAGGCCTCGACATGTCGGATTTTTCCTTAATCACTTGCTTGTACTCAAGAGCCCGAGACTCGGTCCTTAGGCGTGGGACCTAAGTGTTCCCGTGGGCCTCACTTGGCTCAGGAAGCTTTATTTTCCCCCCGGAGAATGAATCGCCAACTACTTGTATTGTCTGCGTGCTCTTAACTCCAAGGGAGGTGTCTTGTGTTTGGGCGTTAAGTTAGACCTGGGTTGGAATTTCAGGTCCAGTTACTGTTGGCCGTGTAACCTTGGTCAGTTGCTAAACTCCTCAGGCTTCAACCTCCACATCTGTAAAATAAGAATAATAGCCCTTGCTTGATATGGTGGTTGGAAGGCTTAAACGAGGTGCTAGCTCAGGGCGTTGGCGCAGCGTGTTGTTCAGAAATGTGAGCCAGTGGAATTTGCATATGGTACTTGACTAAAAGTTGAAAGGTCGGAATTTAAATTTTTTTTAACAACTTAGTTGATTACGTCTTTCGTGGTAATAGGAACATTTTGTAAACTCATTTGTAATATCTTGCTGGTGTACAGAAATATGCCACGGATCAGTAGGATTCAAATTATAAATATAAATGTAAAATACAAGGGCTTTTTATTTTTCTAGGCTAGTGCTCCCTCTGCCACCGTAATTATTTCTGCTGCCCTGCCCTCCTGGGTACCTGTGGCTGGCCTACAAAGGTCCATGATATCTTGTTTCTTAATTGTTTATGGTGAGTTGCCAATACCTTTTCTTAAAAAGACAGAGGGCATTATCATAAATAGGATTTGGTCTAATACTTGGATTTTGTAACAGCTTCTGCTTCAAATTACACCCATGCTTCTAATCAGGCTGGAAATTTGATTAGTGTTCTATAGCCATTCCATAAGTTCTTTGCCATGTTAACTTTTCCTGAATTGGATGGTTCTGTTATGATACTATTTGTAAACTAACTGGAGAAAAAAGCAATATCATAAACACCCATTAAATGCCAAGTACTGGGCAAGCAGCACAGATTAATGCAAGCCACTACATTATTCGAGAATATTCCAGTGATAACTATGTTGGATATTCACTCTTTGCTAAAAAGTGAACTTTGGGGGCAAATGTGTGTGTGTGTGTGTGTGTATACATATATACAGATATGTAATTAAAGGATTGTAATCCTAACTGTAATATTAAATGTTATGTATTTATTGTAAAATATTTATCATGATGTTCATTATTGCTTGGGATTTAGGAACCCAGAAAAAAACCCAACAAACTCATGTTTGTGCTGTCTTGTCCTAAACACTAAAATCAACCTGATGTACAATAACAGGTGCTATGTAATTCTCTTTTATGAGATTTGTTAGTATGTTGCCAAAGGTAGAGTGTTGATTTCTGCAGTGCAAATGCTTTCACTTGGGACAGCCTAATATTTTGTCTCTTAACAAGATTAAGGCTGCCTCGAATGTTTTCTCTTTCTGTCTACATTAAAAATTTAATTCTTTGGTTTTAGGGCTGCTGTCATTAATACCAAAGTGTGTTAGTAATATAATGTCCCTTGTTGAATTAAGGGTTGGCTGTAGATGTTAAGTGCGCGTAGCATGGATACCATCCCTAAACATGAGGAAAATGTGCAGAGTCACTTCTGTGTTCCTGTGGGCCAAATCACCTGTTTCTTCTGTTTGGAAGAATAGTTAGGTGACCTAAAAAATTAGATTATAGTCTGTGTACTGAGGTGACCTTTCAATTAAAGCCAAAGTATTCAGCCAAAATAACTTTTTATAGTTTTATGATACATAGCCTGTTGTCCCTGAAGAATTAAGGAAAGG